CGCCCCACCCGGACACAGGGCTGATGGCGTGGGAGCGTCCACTGCCAAGACAGCGGGAGGGAGAAATGATACAGTACGAGAGGCATCACCTGTGGGGCTTTCCAGCTAAGAAACGCTGTCATCAACATGGCAGGATGTTTACTTTCTACAGCAGCCTGGTGAGGCTCCCAGGGCAGGTATCAGCACCCCCATTTCACAGGTGAAGAAACTGATGCTAAAGGAAGTCGCGGTTCATCAACTGGGGTGTGGCGAGTTCGTGGGGAGGGGAGGCTGGCTGAGCCACAGGTCTCCCGGCTCCCACTCGGGTCCGCTCCTTCAGAGCAGGCTGTCTGTGCCTGGAGGAGGAGGACGCCGGGAGATGGCCGCCGTGGCCTCACCGAACAGCACACAGCAGAGCAAGGCGCCCCAGAGGGGACACGCACGGCCAGGAGATTCAGTCGGGCCTGTTGTCCGGCAGAGTGGCTCGCCGTATGTGGCACAAATGCTCCTCCTGGTGGCCGTGCCAGGCTATGGCAGCGTCATCCTGCTCACAGGAGAGCCAGGGGGACGGAGGACAGAGGACGGCAGGAGAGGAGCTGGAGGGGCTGGGCCGAGAGGAGGGGCTGTGTCCTTACAAGTGTCATTTTGTCTGCACCAATGCAGATGTCCAGGAGGGTGGCTGTTAACAGATAAAACCCATTCGGAGGGCATTTCACGGATTCCTACTCTGACAATACCCAACATTTACTAAGCTCCACTCTTTGCCAGACACTGTTCTGGGTGCTTCACTTGCATGATATTGACTCCTGAGAACTCTGTGAGGCAAGTGCCACAGACACTCCCGCGGGTAAGGCAGCACCGAGTCACAGGAGTGGTGAACGGTGGGGCCTCACCCCAGTGCGTTGACCCCAAAACCCGGACACGGCCTCCCGCTGCCCACACTCAGGACAGACTGACTGGGTAAAGGAGGCAAAGGTCACTCATGTCAGAACGCAACGGAAAGAACAATCTCTCTTCTGGCACTTTCATTCGGAAACGGCACAGCAGCCCACCTGACAGAACCTGGAATGCGGAAGTCGGGGAGGTAACAGGAATGGACCAAATGTTTGATTGGTTCGAATCAGTCAAACTAAAATTTACGCACAGCACGGGCCCACTGCCGACAGTGTCTAGCGGGGGGTCGTGTGTGAGAAACACAGATGGCTAAGAAACAGTCCATTATCCTCCGAGAATGTGAGAGATGAGTGGGGAGACACACATTTACAAACTATCTCTGAGATAAGGAACAGCATGAAATTAAAGGCAAAGAATGCTACGGGTGGGGGGTGAAGAGATAGAGCCGAATGTGTCCTCGGAGGGGGGGGGACCTGAAGGGTTTTAGGGAGGAGGCGGCTGGTGAACTGGGCTTTCCATGTGGGTAGGATTTCTCAAGCCCCATATTGGGGGTAAAGAAGAAAGCCAGTTACAGAGGGAAGCGAGAACACAGATGTGGGGTGTAGGGCATGTGGAAGGCTCATCCCGGCGGCATGGGATCAGGTTCCCAAAGGGCACTGGCTGGATGGCAGGCTGGCATCAGAGGGTGGGGGCCTTGGAGGCCAAGCTCAAGGGTTACAAGTCTATTCAGCACCAAGAGCCATTCGGGGTTTCTGCAAGCAAGGCGTGGCATGTTTCAAACCAGGCCTTACGATGAAATCTGGCCGTTATGGTGAAGACAAAGAGCGGAGCCTGACCTAAGGAGTTGGTGTGGGCAGGCAGAGAAGAGGGGGATGTGCGGGGACCTGGGGACCGGCTGGGTGCTCATGGAAGAGCAGGAAGGAAGAAGAGATGGCGGGGTAAGCACCGCACAGGCTTTAGCACTGACAGGCTCACCGAACGCCACCACTTTCTAGTAGTTTCCTCACAGTGACAAGAGTAAACCTGCCTGACACGACTTTCGTGGGAGGACAGGATTTGATGCCGCGTGGCAAACACCTGGCATGCGGCAGGTACCCAGGACATGGCAGCTCCTAGCTGGTGGGTTTTGATGACTGGAAAGCAGTGAGGGCAGTAACTAAAATGGGAAACATGGTGGGAGGGGCAGGGCTGTCAGTTAACAAGCTCAGTTTGGGACGTGTGGGATCTGAGGACCCACGTCCCGCGACAGCTGTCTAGCAGGCAACTAGATCATTTGTGTCTGGAATTCGAGAGGCTGTGAACCATCATAAAGATCACTGAAGCCACAGAACTAGGGGAGGAAACCCAGAGGCAGAGGGGACAGGGAAGAGGTGAGGCTGGGGCACACGCTTAGGGGGGTGTGCAGGCTCGCAGACGCCGGGCTGAGGGGAGAGCCTGGACAGGGCGGAACCACGCAGCTGCAGGAAGGAGACAGCGTCAGGGCGGGGCGGAGGGCATGGGCCTGGGTCCCAGGCTGTGGAGAATGAGACAGAGGACAGAGACCAAGGCTTCCAATATGGCTTTGCAGCTGCTGGGGACCTTGGGACTGGAACACAGCGGTAATGAGAGTCGATAGACACCTCTTGATTTCTCTTTGGAGAAGTCTGATGGAGAAGGAAGGAGAAAAAAAGGTAGTTTGAGAGGATAAAAGGAGTGATGGGACTCTTTTTTTCCTCTAGTAGAAGAGAGATGTAAGGACATTTGTTGCCAAAGGGAAGACGTTAATACTCTATTAATGGGAGCTGGTGCTCCGGGGAGACGGGAAGGGCAGGAGCGCTTCTGGAGGGCAGTCTTACAAAAAGGGAGGAAAAACCACCTCGGAGACAGGAATTTAGGGAAAGAGGGAGGCAGGAAAGATGCTGAAGGCAAGACACAAGACAAACGCCCGTGCACAAGGGCAGTAAGCGTGGGGCTAGAGGCTCGAGCGCCATCCCTGTGAGAAATTCAGCGTCGCCTCCCCCTCTGCCTTACAAGCAAGTTGTGTGTCCCGGGGGGTCGTGGGGACACTCACAGGGAAGGATGGAGGGTTTAGGGGAAAGTCAGGGGCTGAGAATTGGAGGGTCAGCTATAATTTATTAAATCAGCAATGATGAAAAATAATAAGATTCAGTGTTGGTAAAGGTACAGGCAAACGAATGCTATACAATGTCTCTGCAAGGCCAATTTGGCATCACGCAGTAAAAGCTTGTCAGGTGTGCGTACACCTTGACCCTCCATTCTCAGTTCTAAATCGTCAATCTAAGGAGGTCAAAGATATGTACAGATATGTTCAGTGCTATTTGTAACGGGAAAAAGGAAACAAACAGGATTCTCAACAACACAGTAGTAGAGAGTATGTGTGTAGGAGACAATACTATGCAGCCACCAAAAATGTAGAAAAGTATTTACTGACATGATACAATAATCATGAATTAGTAAATGAAAAGGAAAACCTAATACACAAAATATAAGTATGTTCCTGTCCTTTGAAATACCTTCCTACACACACACATTTGGAGAAGGAGAGAGAGAGAACCAGAGTTGGGTGGGGGAGGGGGGTGGTGACAGTGAGAGAGAGAGAGAGAGAGAGATGTGTCTGGTGTGACTGGGAAAGTGCTGTCACCGTTAGCTAGGATCAGGAACTTAGGAGACATGACCAGTTTCAGTCCTGAAGATACCGAGTTCCTGTTCAATTTAACCTGGAAATGCCCCAAGATGCGTTACATGGGGGGCTGGATACACAGACCCGAAGCCAGGAAAGACAGTGTCTCCGAGATCGCCAACAATCTATTGTAGCTTCAGAGTTCTGCAAGCACCCATTCCGGGACACGCGACCCTGCTGCCAGCTCCCTGGTAAATGCATAGGGCGCTTTCCCGCCTTAAGCGTCCGTACCTAGTTATGACTCACGCCTTTACCCCCGCCCCCCTGCCTGCTTCAGAGGAGGGGGCTTCTCACTTGCCCAGAAAGGCCAGCCTTCCCCTGGCTGGCTTCTCACCCCTACCATCATCTCCGAATGCGCACACTCCGAGTTTTTCTCAGGCACTTTCAGCACCTCCCATGCCGCTGGTTCTGGCCCCTTCATCTACACACCTGCCAAAATTTTCTCAGTCTTAAGGACTCTAATTGGCGTTATAGTCTCCAGTGCCTTCTGCTTGATTTTTCTTCGCTGCGCTGCCAATCTTGTTCAATGCGTGATCTGACTTCTCTAGATGGGCCGTGGCCTCTCCAGTCTCCACCGGTCCTAACGCTCCCTGCAGGGCCACCTCACTCACAGGGCCATACCTGCCCAGCTCCTCCAGCATCTGAAAGTGTCACCCCTGCCACTATTAGCTCTCCTTCTTGGCCTGACCCCTCTGTGTCACTGCCAATGGCTTCTCTTTCTTGTACTGGAGAACAGGGTATCGCTTCTGTTCGCAATCTTCTTCTCATTTTCCTTTTGAGAACTTGTTCAACTATCACTTCTGTGAGACAACGTGCAACTCAATGTTATAAAATCCCTGAATAGGGAAGTTGGAGAGAAATTTAGAGATCAGATAGTTCAACCCTCTCGATCCTTAGAACATAGTTGGGTAACAGAATTCTGTAACTCAAAAGAACTTCAAAGATTAACCAGCTGGGCCAGCTGAGTGGTGCGTTGGTTAAGAGTTGGCTTGGGATGCCAGCTCTGAGCAGCAGGACCACAGTTTGGATCCCACATGCGGGCCAGTGACACTACGCCCTCTACAGCTAAGATGGTGAACAACAGCTAAACCTGGAGCTGGGCTGCCGTGAGTCGCCGGTGACTGTTGTAGGCTGCAGTGGAGCTGGCCAGCAAGGGGCATGAGCTTTCGTGAGCCGCCGTGAGTGGCCATTCAATGGCCAGCGAGCGACTGCCTCACCCGGGAAGAGCGCAATGATAATATCAACATGGGCCAGTGAAGCCACATCCTCCACAACTAGACTGAAGAACAAAAGGACAGCAACTTGTCTGTTCCCCTTCCCCAATTCCCCAATGCTGTCCTCCTCCCCCAATTCCCCAATAAAAATCTTAAAAAAAAAAAAAAGTAAATTCAGGGAAACATTCTTTTTTTAAAGGTTTTTTTTTTATTGGGGAATTGGGAGAAGGGGAACAGACAAGTTGTTGTTTTGTTCTTCAGTCTAGTTGTGGAGAACGTTGCTTCACTGGCCCAAGTTGGCACCCTTCTCTCAGAGACTGACTTCCATCCTGCACAGGCACACAGAGTAAAATGGGGGTAAGTCCTATAATAAAGAAAGAACATAATATTATGGGACAACAGAGGAAAGCAAAGTTCTCGTTGCAGAACTCTGTAGATCTAACTATACGAGTAGATTTAACTAGATCTTGAGATTGGGGTAGGGCACACTCTCCTTTTTAGTTCTTATTGTGCGTATATGGTCTTTCACATATGAAGGAAATGTCTCACACAGGTTAAGTGACTTATCCAAGGTGACACGGGTAAAGTCAAGGCCAGGTCTAGAAGCCAGGTCTCCGGACTCCAACTCCTACTCCAGTGTTCTTTCTCTTATACCTCAGGGCGCCTTCAGCCCTTATTTCTCCTGAGCACTGTCCTGCATTGTCATCTACCTGCCAGGCATTTCTAAATGAATGTCCACCTTCTACCTGGTTTGACCTAGTCAATCGCACAACCGTTCTCCCAACCGGGATAGGTCAGCATCCTGTAGTCACACCCAACGACACCCAACACACCTCATTCCTATTCTGGCAACAGGTCCTATTAACTTCCAAATGTCTCTTTTATCCAGGCTTGCCTTTTTTCCTGGTGACCTCGTCCATCACCCCGGTGGAGAGAGCCTTATTATCTTAATACTGGTTTTGTCTTCAGTCATAGAGCCTTAATGTTGAAAAGCACCTTAGAGGTGATCCATGCCCTACTGTCACCCAGAGAATCACTTCTTTGTACTTCTGTTCCCGCGAAGCCCAGCTGCTGTGCAGGGGGCTCAACTAGTCCCAGGGTGGCCTGTTTCACAGGGAGACACCCACCTGATTAGTAAGTAGGTCCAGTCGCTCACCACTCAACAAATGCTGCCTGTCCCTCTGTTTCAGAAACAGTGCTTGACACACTGGAGGTTTCGCTGCAGAGGGCTCCCCACCGGCCTTCTGTCTTTCAGCCTTTCCTGTCTCTGTTCACTGGCCTGAAGTAACTTCCAGCTGCGTCTCTTCATCTCTAACACGGAGTCCACATCTTCAAGGGTTGTTCTGGGGATCAACTGATAAAATATGTGTATTAATGCTCTGGAAACCAAGCATAATATAGGTAAGCTTTTCTCCCTTCTCTCCAACTATGGAATACATATTTTTTTTTGGGGGGGAGGTGATCTTTTAAATTATATTTTAGGGCCAGCCGAGTGACACATTGGTTAAGAGCTGGCTTGGGACGCCAAAGGGCCCCGGTTCGGATCCCACATGTGAGGGCCAGTGACACTGCCCTCTACAGCTAAGATGCTGAACAACAGCTCAACCTGGAGCTGGGCTGCCGTGAGTCGCCAGGGACAGTGTAGGCTGCAGCCCCTGCTGCAGTGGGTTGCCATGGGCTACCGTGTGTAGCCAGCAGCCGCAGTGAGTGGCCAGCAGCCGCAGTGAGCTGCCGTCCAGAAGCCGGTGACTGATCTGCCTCGCCCAGGAAGAGCGCAATGATGGTGCCAACTTGGGCCAGTGAAGCAACGTCCTCCACAACTAGACTGAAGAACAAAAGGACAGCAACTTGTCTGTTCCCCTTCCCCTAATTCCCCAACACTGTTCCCTTTCCCCCAATTCCCCAATAAAAATATAAAAATATTTTATACATACAAAAGAATAATTGTTCTATGTGATGTATATAAAATATAATGAAATACCCATAAACTTACCTTTTAACACACTAACTAGAACATTTCCAACAGCACCCACCTGTTCTTCCCCATCCCACCCCCCACTCTCTGCAAGGTAACCGCTCATGAATTTTGCGTTGATCTCTCCTCTGCTTTTCAAAACGTTTTATCATACACGTGTATACAATATATTGCTTAATTTTGCTTGTTTTTGAAAGTTACACTAATTATTTCAAATGTTTGGGGTGTTCCGGTGTTCCGTTTTCCATTCAGAACTATGTTCCTAAGATTGATCCAATCCAAGTATATACCTTGAAGCCTCAAGCTTCTTCACGCAGCCTTTTCAGCTCACAAGAGCCCAAAGTTCTTTCCTGCTCTGAACGTCCTTAGCACTCATTGTCTATTTATAAAAAGGGAGGGGGGAGAGGGCTGAAACTGTGCCTTCACTTTTCCTCTCCCTGAAGTACCATCACCTCAACTAAACAGCCTCCTCGGAGAGCAGGCGGGCAGCTTATCCAGGGTTCGGTTCCGGTTACACCCTCCCAGGCAGGCGCCTCAGCCTAGTCTCTTGGCCCTCCCGAGCCTCCGCTTCTCTAACACGGGGTTTGGGGAGGAACTCCCAGAGAGCATGGGTGGTAACTCTTGGTAAGCTGAGAAACATCACCCTCAACTTAACATTCACGTTACTGTCGGCCCACGGCTCCCAGAGGGCTCACGGCTCTCTGGCTGTTTGAGGGGGGACGGTCGTGTCCTCGCTGAGGGCGGGGACCGCGACTCGTCGATGCCTCGGGACCCTCCAGGCAGCGCCGGGTCAGACGTAGTGTTGACGGAGGCTAGACGTCTGGGACCCCAGCCAAGAGGCCAGAGGGCGCTCTCGGCCCCGCAAATTGGCCAGGGAGGGACCGGTTAGATCCACGCACGCGCGCCTCCTGCCGGCTCTGGCGAGACCCAGCCAAAATCGGCTCGCGGGGCTGGTTTTTTCCCCATCTAGGGGCGCAATCTCTTGTGTACGCATGCGCCTCGCCCAGGCTGCGGTTGGCTGGCGCTCCCATCCGTCATTACAGGAGCCAATAGAGTGAGCCGTAGGACCCACTTCCTGCCCGGCGGCGGGGGGGCGCGGGGAGTGGGCTTGGGTCTTTGTCCGCACCCACGCAGGTGGGGACGAAGCGCTTGCGGAGTCCGCCCGGGGGCGGGCAGCTAGGCTTGCAAGCGTTGGCTCGCCAGCTGCAGAACGAGCGCGCTTTTCCGTGACACAGTGGGAGGGCGAATGGGGAGTCCAGGGGCTGGTGGCAAGGACGACGGGGTCAACTCGGCTTCCGGCAGCGTCCGAGGGGTAGTCGCCCGTCAACTTATTGAGCACCTACTGTGTGCCAGACACTGCCGAGGCGCCTTGGAATGGGGCTCTCTGCTTCCGTGGGCGCTTGCGGTCTAGGGGGGGGGGCAGGTTAGACAAGTGTCTTCGTTGTCTTCCGCCTCCCTTACTTCTCCTTAGATGGAGATTTTTCTCTTCCCGAACCCTGAACGCCTCCGTGGCCCCCGCCCGGCGCCGGCTGGCAGCGCACGGATTGGGCGTCAGCCTCCGCTCCCAGCTGAGGGTAGTGACGGGCGAGGACTGGCGCCGCGGTCACGTGAGGGCGGGACTTGGCGGGGCGTGTGACCTTCCCGAAGGCGGGGCCCTTCCCTTCTTTCGGGCCCAGGGTGTCGTCACCTGCTTTTATTGGGCACGTGGCGGCTGATGCGCAGTAAATAGGAGTGACTCTGGGCGGCCACGCTACGAAGGCGGTGTCCGCACTTTTACGAGAGACCAAACCGCCCGAGCGAGGCCCAAGAGCTGTAAACACGTGGAAACGAGCACAAAGCAAAGGGGGGTGGGGTGGGGGGAGAGGATGGTTAAATGCAAGTCAGTCCAACTGGAAGCAGTGAGTCCTGGGCCTCCAGGCTGACTTGAACTAGAACTAGCCAGGAACTGCGGGAAGAGCTGTGGGAAGAACCCGAGGGCCACCTCTTCCTTTGGGGCCTCACGTTTACCAACTATAAAATAGACACGGGGTGTCTGGCCTTTAGAACCAGACGTACCCCTTAGCCGGGCAGTAACAGCGATTTGAGTCTGCGAAAAGAAACAAGAAGTCTGTGTGGGCTCCAGTAGGAGCCACTTTGGAGCCTGGGGTGGGGTCACCTTATGTCCCTTTAACATCCGCTAGCTGTTCCTGAAACAAGTTTCCACAATCACAAGGCTGGAAAAGTTACTCAGCCCATGGGACTGAGGGGTGAGTCAGAAGAACATGAGGTACAGGGAACTGGCCTGGCCTCCTTAGCTGGAACAATCACGTGCCACCCTTTACTTCCTGCCTCGCAAGAACCACCTCTGTGGGGGTAGGAACCCAGTAGGTGCTGCTGCTTCAGCGGACTGACGGCTAAGCCCAGGGAAATGGAACCCACACTCCTTCTCAGCCCCATTGATCTGGTGCTCCTGGAGCTGGAACTAGAAGAGAGGCTACAGAAAGTCACCACGCCCTTGAAGAAAGAAAGAAAGAAAAAAACCCTCTGGGTTGGTAGCACTCCATACTTTACAAAGTACACTTTCACATGCATCGTCTCATTTTGGTCTGACGGGACATATACTGTGTACCAGGTACAAGAAGGGAGGAGGCACCGCATTTTTTTTTTGTTTGTTTGTTTTTGTAGAGGGCAGTGTCACTGGCCCTCATATGTGGGATCCGAACCGGGGCCCTCTGGCGTCCCAAGCCAGTTCTTAACCATCGCGCCACTCGGCCGGCCCGGCACGGCCCGGCATTTTTTAAAGGAGCTTTCAGTTCCATCGTAGAGAGAAGACAGAAGCTAGTACCCACGTTTTTCAGGCAGAAAGATGCAGGAGCTAGAAAGAAGGGCAGATGCCTAACACCTCAGTAGAGAAGAAAAACACCGCCAGCCACGTAGGATGGGAAATAAGTTTTACAGAGTGAAACCTTGAATAATAGGAAAGGTCTCAAAAGATAGAAATAGGGTGTAGCGTTTTTGCCCATATACATACTCTTCTTACCTAAGTAAGCTCATCTATTTTCATGTCTTTGATAAGTAGCAGTAACAAGAATAATAACTAACTCTTGCCGAGCACTTATTATGGGTCAGGAATGGTTTGAAGTCATTTCTGTGTACCATGTATTTAAATCTCACAGCAACCCTTGTTAGGAGGCAGCTGAGGCACGGAGAGGTCAAGGTTCTCTCTGCGCTGACATCTCACAAGATACCTGGTGGCCCTGCCTGGAGCCACAGCACCACCGTCCAGTCGGTAGTCCACGCACGAGTTTGGAAGTCATGCCCCCCCCCCCTTTCCTTCCCCCTCTACCTTCACCAGGCAGTTGCCAAGTCCTGTTAGTCTTCCTCTACATAGCGACAAAATTCACCCTCTCACTTGTAAAGGCCTCAATTTTCCACTCCTTCCACTGTTCTCAGCAGGACTGTCAGAGGGAGCTTGTACGGGCAGCTTTCTGAAATGCAAATCTGATCAAGTCCGTCCTCCACTTAAATCCTTTGGTGACCAGACATCTGCAGAATGAAGTCTAAATTTCAACAGTCAAGGCCCTTCCCGGGGAGGCCGCCGCCTGCCTCTTCAGCTTCCTCTGCTGGGCCTTTGGTCTCCACCACAGTACTGGGCCTCCTGAGTGCACTGTTCCTTCTCCAGACCTCATGCCATTCCCACCATCAGGAACGCCTTCCTGCCCTCATTTGCACAGGCAACTCCAAGGCTTCAAAATCCAGCAAGAACACCTCCTCTAAGAAGCCTCCCTGATCTCCACCAGCTTTGAGTTGGGTGTGCCTCGTCACTGGTCCCACAGCCCACCCATACCGTCCGATGTGATACGTAACAGACTGCCAACTCAAGTGTTAACAACTGGTTCCTTTGGCTCTGTCCCCAACTAGACCAAGTTGCCAGAAGCAGGGGCTGTCTTGCTCCTCTCTGCATCCCCAGTGCCTAACAAAGGGTTTCACACAGAGTAGGGGCTTAATGCACGTTTGCTGCATGTCAAACAGGATAGCAAGAGCAGAGCTACAAAGGGTCTGTCCAGGAATGGAGTGGGCTGCCTGACCGGCCTGGAGCCCAAGGGATGTGCAGCCGGAGGGACAATGGACTAAGTCTGGAGAAGATGTCGTGTTGCTTCTTTGAAGGCCCTGGGAGCCAGGCAGGCTGTGGAGTGTGGACTCTATATGGTGGGCAGTGGAGAGTCCTGAGGTCTTTGCTGATTGATCAGAGCTGCCCAAAGATGGGAGGACAGACTGGAGAAGGAGGCAGGCGTTAGAGGAAACAGGCGGCTCCTAGCTCGATACAGTCGATGAAACAGCGGCTTGGGGAGATCACAGCTGCCCGAGGCCATGCTGCTGATAAGTGGCAGGCGTAGGAGTTGGACCAGTGGTGGGCTAGTCAAGTGCAGGGATCTGCAGCTCACCACAGGGGTGCACAGCAGACGGGGCTTCAAGGCTGTCCAAGCGTGAGTGGACGCGCCATCGCTCAGGACTGGATGCTTCTACTGCAGACACGAGACCCAAGTCCCTGGCCCAGCGCACACTCGTTTTCTAGTCACAAGGCCCACTGTGGTGCCAGACGGCACCATAGGCGGCTCAGCGACCCAGGCTGCTTCCATGTGCTTCCACGGCTCCCACAGCTGGGAGGAACACTCAGAGAATCAGGTACCAGCTTTATTTCAGAGGTGACACATTACTTCCCACTCATGTCCACTGGCCCAACGAGTCCAGTGATCCCGCCTGACTGACTGCACAGGGACCGGAAATAGTCTCCTGTGCATCCAGGAAGAGAATAGAACCGAGAATACCTGTCAGCAATCGTGATGCCCACTCAGGACTCAGGTGATGCCCACAGAGGGGCAGCTACGAGCTGTGCAAAGGAGAGAGGTCTGGCTCAGGATTTGGTGCTAGATCAGGGCTGTTCTGGTGACCTCGTGGGCTGCAGTGCATGTCACACCAGTGGGTTCCCACCTTTCGCAATGTCTGGAGAGCTTGGAAACTAACGACAGAGGACAGGAGGACCACACTCAGGTGGCTGTTGTTGGGAGGCCTCAGTTATTTGTCACATGGTCCCCACAGAGTTGCTTAAGTGTCCCACTGGCACCCCCGGAGCAAGTGAGAGAGAGAAAGCCATGACTTAGCCTCAGAAATCACACACAGTCACTTCTGCCATATTTTGTTGGTCATACGTAACCGGCCATGACTTGTGAGGACCACACCTCACCTCGTGTGAGAACCAGGCTCGGGTAACTGGGTGCCACCCAGGAGCTGCTACCACCGGCTGCCGGCAGGGGAGGCAGTATCTTTTCAACTGCTTCCTGCTCAGCTCACCTTCCGTCTCAGCTCCAGCTGAGGGAGAAGCAGGTGAGGTCTGCAGTGACCCTGGGCAGGAGGCCAATGGCCGCATTCTGCAGGTGAGGAAACCCAAGCAAGGCACAGAAGCCTGGACGTGACTGCCCCCACGCGCTCGTGCGGCCAGCTACGTTTGCAGCAACCAGAGTTAACCGCGTGGCTCTCCGGCACCCGTAGGCCTGTCTCCGGGCCTCTCACACTCCGTCTTCGCCTCTGCGGCACCTGAGTGGCCAAACCTGTTAGCAGTGAGCCCTGAGCTCTTCCCCCCGCACCCCTGCAACCCTGCACCTGCCCACAGCACAGCTGTGCAGGGTGTGGGAGGCGGGAGTAAGGGCCACCTGGCGCTCGGGGCACCAGGTGGGGGCCCTCTGGGTATGTGAGGAGGGGAGGGCAGATGCCCCTGGGTGAGTGAGCTGTGGGCCCGAGGGGGGCTCACCTGTGCCTAACAGTGCCCGGCTCTACTGCAGAGCGTCCTGTTCCGACCTGGCCCCGAGTGGTGTTTCTCATCCCAGGGTCCCTCCTACGGGACAACCCTCCCTAGTCCTGGGGCTGCCTCTGCTTCTGATCGAGCCCCTGAGGTTCTCAGCTGAAACCCCACCTCAGACGCCTGGAAGTGCCCGGCCACAGGCCAACGCCAGGCCTGTCACCCTGGTAGGCCACACCGTCCCTCCTTGCCCTCCTCAGCCGACCGACCGCACCAAAAAAACCAGACCCCGAGCCAAAGTATCAGAAACGTGTATTCTTTTTCTTTTAATAGTAAACCTCTTTACAACAAATATAGTGAAAGAGTTTTCAAACAAAACTCATAAGAATCTCGAGGACTTTGTCTTTTCTTATTGTGTAGAATACTAAGAAAGCATCACCATACAGCACGAAAAGAAATATTGAAAACAAATTGACCGCCACACCCTTGGACCCGCCCTGCGCAGGACGCAGGAGCAGCCCCAGGAGTGTGGGTGATTGTCGGGCTCGGGGGGTGGGGCACCTCTGTGGCCTGTCCCCCCTCCCTCTGGGACTCGAATGGGGAAGACAGAGAATCCAGATTCTCCCATAACATTCCAGCCCCCCCACCCCAATACAAATCCCATTCCTTCTACCAAGTGTTTAGGGGTGGAGAGAGGTGGCAGAGGGGAGAAGCGGAGTTCCCAGGCTCCATGTCCCCTCCCCCCTATGAAAGCCTAAATCCACCCCCCACCCCACCCCAGGGGATTCCAGAGTCAGTTAAAAATATATAGATAGAGATATTTCTAGATACACTTTTACATCATTTCTGTCTCTCCAAACAAATAAATAATCAGCAAGAGAAGGTGCATCACGTCCTTCCTGTCCAAGGTGGGGGGGGCTGGGTGAGGGCCAGGGGTCACTGCTGGGGGGAGGGGTCCTGTGCCCACTGTCCCTGAAAGCTGTGGGAAGCCTGCGGAGGGGCGGGGCACCGTGAGCACCCTGCCAAGTGCACGGGCTTGGAGGAAGGAGTGGGTGGAGGCAAATTTGGCTTGTGAGAGGAAGAAGTGAAGTCCCCGCTTGAGGTCTGGGTTCCCAGGGACCCTTCATCTGGCCGGCCAGGAGAACTCTTGGGATACTGAATTACAGATATGTCCCATGTTCATTTGCAGACCACCCCCTGCCCCCAGGGATAGAGAAGAAAGGACACACACACCCATACATGGTAATCAAAAGCCAGGGCTGCCAGGCAGAGGGCAAAACTGGTTAATATTGCACCGTGAGCTGCAGGGCCTCATCCCACCCCGTGCTAATGGCGGCCGAGCCCAGCCTAGGAAGGCGGACGGGCTGGTGGCGGGCATAGCCTGAGAAGGGAAGGCCGGTCATTCAGCGTTTATTGAGCACCTGTCTGTCATTCACCCACTCAGCCCTTCACCATTACTGGGCAGGCTCTGGGACGCACACATACACAAGACGACAGCCTGTCTTCTTTCTAGGCCCTGATCAAGTCTCACTGACTCTTGAAACTCCCTCTAGGAACCTGCGGGAAGACCAGACATGCCGTGTGGCCTTTGGCAGGTGGGGGTTAAGCTGTGAGGAAGGATGGCTCACTGACCAGGGAGGAAGAGGAACTGAGTGTCACCCGAAAGCAGGACGGGGCTGCAGGAGAGGGAGCTGCGTGGGAAGGCGTGGGTACTGGGTGGACAACGGGGTCGAGCCGGGAGAGGCGGGGCTGCAGGGAGAAGCAAAGAGGCCCGACTGCTAGCTCCCTCCTGACTGCGGGACAAAAATATCGGAGCTGAGGGTGAGAACAGATGAAGGAGCCAGGCAGAAGGGACTGGGGCTCAGGGAGGAGGGTCATGGGGCTGGAAGCCAGGGTGTGTGGCCGCAGCAGCCACCTGTCCCTGTGCAAACACATCCAGGTAGCGCACGCACGCACGCACAGACGCCCTCAGATTCATGCATATGGCCCGACGGGCTCAGAGACCCATGCAGACACGCGTGCACACGCGCGCGCACGCACAGAGACACTCACATACAACAGCAGGCGCCCTCATGAACACGCAGGTCCACATGCAGCCCCACGCCCCCCCCACCCCCCGCTTCTGGTCCCCCTGCATCTTGTCAGAATACTGCCAGCGGCTGGGTCAGAGAGGCGGGCAGAGTCGCCTGCCCCGCAACGGGCCTAGTCCACTCTGCCTTCCCACCAGGGTGAAACCGCAAGGGAGCGGCCTCGGGGCAGAGGAGCTGGGCTTCTGTGAAGGAGGGCCAGAGGCCAGGCCCCTTGGGGCGAGGGGTGGGTGGTGTGGATCACAGGTGGGGGCCGGGCCCCTCCTCTTTGATCTGTCATCCAGCCCGAGGTCTCAGGACCTGGGGAGGCAGCAGAGAGGGGCAGGCTGGGGGAGGGGAGAGGAGCAGGACAACAGCAGAAGAACCTCGTCTGTACAGTACGGGCGTTTGAGTCATTATTATTACAATATACTTTGACAAAAATAGAATCTCATTTCATATCAATACAACAACAAAAAAAAAAAACAGTTTCCTGGACTGTTACACTGCTAACGGTTTCCAAAGGTTGCTATTTACAATTACAGTAGCCAAGAGGGAAGGTGCGCTGGGCCTGGGTGCTGGGGCAGGAGGTAGCGAGACAATGAGGGCGCAACAGCAGGGCGTGGAGGGGGGGTGCTGGGGAGAGGGCCCAGGAGGAGAGAGGGAGGCAGGCCTTCGGACCTCTGGGTCCACCCCCCCCTCACACCCCATCCCAGCGTGCACTCCTCTGGGATGCGTACGTGCAAGGGAGAGCCAGTGCCCTCGCTCACACCTGCCAGTCCGGGCGAGGCCGGCTCCCACTGGGCCACCTCACTCCAGCTTCTCCCCAGTTCCCCCTGCTGGTGGCCAGCTTTACAGGGCTGGTGTCACCTGAGGGATGGGGAGCTATTGCACTGTGTATCTTAGAGAAAACGCTGGGAAAGGGAGGAGACCCCACTCACCCCCGGCCCCAGTCCTCTGTCCCTTCTCAGCTCTCTCCTCATGGCTCTTTCTCTCCAGAAAGGGGCTTCAGAGGGGCCCCCGCCTCCAACCTCCTCCAGCCTCAGATTTCCAGGCAGCCTTCCCAGCCCAAGCTCAGCCAGCACCCTCACATCTTGGGGGTGCAGCTCACACAAGACCCAGTGAGGACGCATCGTGCGTGTGCAGGGGGGCGTGTGGAGGCCAGGCTTGGGTACTCTGCCCCATGTGCCTGCGGCCACAGGACAGCTGAGACGCAGAGACCCTTTCCAGAGCCCCTGCCTCACTTTGCCCTGAAACAAACCCACCGTCACGCCAGCCGACTTTGGGGTTTCAGTCTATTGTAAGGGTTTTGTCGTTTGGTAGTTTTTTTGGTTATTTCCCTCTGTCTGGGGGACGGGGTGGGAGGGCTCCACATGCAGGACCCGGCACCTGTCCTTTCCCAGATGCCTCTCGGGCCCCCACCCCTCCTGCAGCATATGTGTACAACGTGCAAAGTGTCCCCCCTTCCCGCAAAAAAGAGCTCCCCCGGCCAGTGAAAATGGCGGGGGGGGTGCAGAAAGAGGGGATGGGAGCATCCCCCCCTCCAAAGCGAGAATCCAAATTAAAAAAAATATAATATTAATAATAATATAATAATAATTATACACAAATGTAACCGTCAACAGGACACGGAGCACAAGAGAGGAAGTGGGGGTCGAGCGGGAGGAGCCCAGGGCAGGGGGGTGGGCGGTGAGATTGTCAACTCTTCATCAGGGAGGCTGAGAGGGGAGTGGGGACCGTCACTTTAATGTCTGTGAAGAGAGGAGATGGAGAAGGGGGTGTGAGGGGCTGGCCCGGGCTACGGGATACGTGCCCCCCACTCCCCTCTCCCTGGAGGGCCAGGATTCTAGTGGCAGGGCCAGCTCTGAGGGGAGGACGTCATCGAGCAGAAGGACTGATGCTGGAGGAAGGGTAGGAGACGGGCCTCTGGTGGGGGGATGGGGCGTCGGTCCTGCCCCGAAGGGCTGAGGGAGGGCTAGCTGGCCACAGGCCTCGGGTGGGACCTAAGACAGCTGGGGGCACACGGGCAGCCCCGTGAGGCAGGCAGGAGGGTAATGCTACAGTACCCAGGTGTCCAGCCGCATCCGCTTCACAGCTGAGCCCTCGGCCTCAGGCTCTGGGGCTGGACGCAGCAGGCCCAGCGTGGGCCCGAAGTCCCCCCGTCCGTCATCCCGGTCCCCCGTCTCATAGGAGCCCCCGGCTGGGCTGCTGAGACCATCACCGGGCTCAGGGCGGGTCGCTGGGAACACAGCCGGAGGGGGAGGCGCAGGGCTGCGCTCACGGCTTGGGGACACCGGCTCCGACTTGATGCTGATATGGGGGTGGGTGGTGACCGTGAGGGCAGCACCCACGTGGGGCAAGGGGCTGCCAGGGCTGGAGACAGGCGATGGGGAGGGGGCACAGGGGACAGAAACAGGAGAGGCGGTGAGCAGCAGAAACAGTGATGGGTGGTGACAGACAGGGTGAGAACACGGGGGTAGAGGTGTGACGGGGAGGGGCAGACAAGTGGATGGGGACAGGGGGCCAAGCGAAGGGCAGAAGGGGAATAAGTCACATTAGTTCTTTCTCTCCCGTGTCGTCTTCCGCCGCCAGCCCCCGCCCCACCCCGCCCCACCGCCACCTCGGCTGACTGGGTCTCCCAGGCCTGTCCACTGATGACAGACAGCCTGGCAGGGATCCCAGCTCTCAGGAGGCCCCTCCTCTTCCCACCCTCAGCTCTCCCTCCCCAAACACGTGCAGCTCTCCGATCCCAGGGACTCACATTAAGTTGCTGAGAGACACGGGGACCAGGTGGGGCTGCGGCTGAGGTGGCTGCTGGGGCTGCTGGGGCTGCTGGGGCGGCTGGGGCTGCGGAGGCTGCGGCTGAGGCGGCTGCTGGGGCTGCGGTGGCTGCTGCCAGGCAGTGACAGCAGTGACGTTGCCTAGTGACAGCCCCCCCGGCGAACTGAAGGCTGGTAAGGAGGAGAGATCTGCGCTGGTCAGCTGGTAATCTGGGGGGACAAAGTGAGGGTGAGCCTGGCGGGGGGGTGCGGGCGGAGGCTCCCGGAGGCCCAGGACGCGGGGGAGCTGCTGATGATGGACGCGAATCGTCACACAAGCCCACAGTCCAGCGAGGTGGCACTCCAGGTGAAGACATGCAAATCTAACAGTCACGAGTGACGCTTTCAACAAGACAAAGCCACGAGGTTTTACAGCAGTGTTTCACTGTTGTTTCTGACCACATCCATTTTTAGAACGTCCATCTAAAAGCAAGCAGGGAGGGTCTAGGATATTCAAGCGCCTTTCCAAGACACCCAGGGGAAGGACGCGTCCCAAGCAAACTGCTCTAATGGCCACCGCACTTCTGCAAAGTCCCCAGTCTCCCTAAGTCGGTCCACACAGGACACGGAGCGGCCAGGGTTTGAGCTGCTGGGCCCACCCCCACAGATGGGTCGTACGTGGGCCCAGAGCGCTGCAAGGGAAGCAGCTGGTGCAGCAGGGACAGTGGCCTGGTCCCCAGGAGGTGACACTTATTTCCTAAAATTTCTGTCTCGGTGAAGAAACCGGGATGTTTGCACTGTCACAGAGCACACAGGACCGCGAGCTGTTTCATAATTCACGCAGCACTGTCACGTTTCGTGTTGCACCATTTGGGACAGTTTAGAAGTTGTCTTCCTGCAAGCACAGGTATGGCGCGGTGGCAGTGGGAGGGCATGGGCACGCCTGTCGCAGCAGCCCTGCAGCCACGGCCCTGGCTCTGTGCGGGCAGGGCAGGATGAGCCCGGGCAGCAACAAGGTCAGGTCCAAGTCGCTGACCGCCCCCACTCACAGGTCATGTGACCCCGGGCAGGCTGCTCTGTGTATAAACAGCAGACGGCTGGCTGCCCATGTCACGGCCGCTGTGAGGACCGAGTGAGCTAACTAACCAAAGGAAGCACGCACAGCAGTGTCGGGGACACAGTAAATATTCCAGATCTACTTGTCATTAATTTACAAATGAGGCAACTGCAGCCTCAAGTTTGAGGAACTCGCCCAGATCACAGACACAGCCAATGGCAAGGCTGAGACAGGCTCCCAGGCCTCCCTGTCACCTTTCTATCTCACCCCAGCGATGTCGGCGGTCCACTCTGGCCTTCAGATGCTTATATTTAAAAAGCAGAGCAAGGGCACTATTCCCAACACTCATGTGACAGAGAAGGAAGCCAGCCCCAGACGGTGCCTCCTGCCTGTCCCTGGGCGAGTGAATGGCTGAGACTCAACTCCCAGGCCCCCGCCTTCCCAGGACACTCCCACCCCATCCACCTGGAGGCTCAGTTCCTCTGAGACAAGAGGAACTCGGCCTGCGGGCCACCTGGCAGCCCGCTCGGCCCCCTCTAGAGTGACCAGAGCCAGACCTCTGCAGCCAGTGTCAACAAGGGGCCAGACCTGTCCCTGACCCAAGACACTGCCAAAGCCACATCACCCCCAGCCAGAACCTGAGCTGGGGCCAAGGACTGTAAACAGTGAACAACTGAACAGCAGGGTATTTGCTGGGGTTTGTTTATGTACCTGGAGTCACCTGAAACCACCTGCAGTTTAAACGACTCCTGCAGCAAGAGGACCGGAGCCCCGGGGGCCGAGAGGATGTGAGCAAGGCCCGGGGAGCAGGCCCAGCGTCCCCAACGGCTTCCGCTTCCATGCCACACTGACAAACAGTCTGAGGTCCGGCCTGCTGTGCCCCCGACACCCACTGACCTCCCTCCTGCCTCCCAAAGTGGGGCAGAAGAATATGGCAGAAAACCACCACCATGGGATTCCCCCGAAACAACAGCTCCTGAAAAGTGGTCTGTGCTGTGCTCCGGAACCACCCCGCCCGCCCTCCCTCAGGGAGCTGGCTTTTCTAGGGGGGCCCTGAGCCCCAGCGGCAGGGCTGGATGAGCCTCTGAGGCCGCCTGTCCGCCCACAGCTCTCACAGGTGAGCAGGCTGGGCCCAGGGGTGTGGCCATCTGCAGCTGCCCAACGACGCAACGACCCAGGAGTGGGTGCACACGTGGACAGAGGACTCTGCAGATGCCGGAGGGTCACGTCGGACACCGACACACATGCCAGAGCCTGGCCCGTCCACCTGAGGCAGTTCCTCCAGCTCCTCTCTGCCCCAGGGGGCCGCCCTACGCACAGGGTTGGGTTCTGTGGGTGCCTCTCTCCGTGTCCGGGACCCAGCGTGGCTCAGTTCTGGAATGGGGCTTTTGGGAGCTTGTTCTAGTCTGACGTCATCACAAAATAGCCCTAACACAAGCTAGCTGCGGGTGAGAGAAGCTAGGGATGGCAGAGGTGTCCTCGGCAGGGAACAGGCCAGGCTCCGCAGCCCCACACGTGCTCGGAAACAGGTGACCGGGCACTTTCCCCCTTGGGCAGCCCTTCCTGGACACGGCAGCTTGGAACGCACGCAAGGATGGCTGACAGTGTCACAGACTGTTCCTGGGACAGTGTGAGAGGTCAAGACAGCCCTGGGGACCCAGGACGGCCCGGGCACTGGGTGTCCTGTCTGAATTCTTCTACCTGGGGATGTCTCCCGTGGGTCCAAGTAACGCTTCACCTTCGGCTCCCGCTCCCCAACCTGCCCGGGCTTCCTCCTCCTCGCCCCCATCACTCCACCAGGCACCAGCAGCAGCCCCGGGAACCTGGGCGAATCTCTGTGGGCGTTCAGCCTCCCTGTCTCTTCTCCCTCTTGTTCCCTCACCCTCCTCTAGGAAGCCTCGCTGGACTGGCCGTGTCCCCTCTCCCCATTCCCCAACCCTGGTGGCCCGGATCGCCTGCCCAGCGCACCTCTGGCCTGGCTCCTCCGACGGGAGGTTCCCTAAGGCCAGGGTGTCCCTCCTCCATTAGCTCCTGTATTAAAAATAAGGGATCCCAGTTCAATCTGAATTTCAGATGAAACAATTATTTACTATTCATTTTATCTGAAATTCAGATTGAACTGGGCATCCTATGTTTGTTTCTGTTGGCTAAATCTGCCAACCTTGATGAGGTGGAGGCTCCCCGAGATCAACGGCCTTCCTTAGATTAGGGTGTCCCCAGAGAGTCGCTCACGTTCCCTGTCCGGTCCCTCCCTGGCCCCAAGGCCACGTGCACATAGCTCACATCCCCGGGACACTCACCTGTGTTGTAGGCAGTGGGCATGGAGGAAAAGGGGAGGCCCTGGCTGAGTAAACTTGGCGTTGCCACGGAAACCACAGGGGTGGTGAGCGAGTGGGTAGACTGGGAGACCCCAAGGCGCTGGGCATTGTTCTGCAGGAGAAAGCTGTCGGTCAGGAGGGAGCAGATGGGGAAGCCGCCCGGGCCACGCCCTCCACTCCAAGGCCAAGCTGGGGTCCCTGAGTCCTGGCCCAGGAGGGAGGCTTCAGCACGGAGGCCCCGCAGATACACACACACAGAGACACTGAGGTCCACGGAAAGGAACATGCCACACGCACCACTCACACCTACACACACGCAGAGCAAAGGCACGCATGCTGGCCCCAGGCCGTCTCCTCAGGCAGCGATAGAGGGGACAGACCTCCCCCTGGCCGGTCCCTCTGGAGTCTGCTCTCCACCCATCTCACTGCAGCGCACGCCCAGGGAAGGCGCGCTGGCATCTCTGAGCGGAATGCGTGTGCCTGCGTGTATGTACACACGTGTGTGGAGCTGTCAGCCCCATCTGCCGCTGACTCACTTGTTTATTCCAACTCCACGCTGGGGCCGAGGCTGCCGCCGTGTTGGCCGCCAAAGCCTGCCTGCCTTTTCCAGCCTCTCTGGCCTCCCGTCAGGGAGCTGGGGGAGGAGCCCCCACCCCACTCCTGGCTGACGGTGAGTATATAAGTGTGTGCAAGGAAGAGCGAGAGAGAGAAAGGGAGGGAAAGGAAGAGGGAGACAGGGGGAGAAGGAGAGAGGAAGAGAGAGAGAGAAACAGAAAGAGACAGAGAGAGTGAGAGGGAAAGGGAGGGAGAGGGAGAGACAGAGCAGTCCAGCCCCTGGTCCAAGCATCTAATCCGGGTATCCTGGGACATGGCCTGGGGCTGGCCCACTCCCCACGCACGCGCGCGTGCACACACACACAGGTGTGCCTGCATGAACATAGCCTCACACAGATACCCATGTACACTCATACACACATGTACACGCACATGCATGTCTGACCCCTCACCCCTGCCTCATTCATCTCGGTGTCCCGTTTGGCACTGAGTACAGCTCCCGGCAAATAACCAAATAAACGACAACACACACTGCACACACATTTGCGAGGACAGGGCACACACGACTCCATGCTGGGGCCGCAGAGCAACGGGCTGACCCAGAATTCAAAGCCACAGCAAACGCCTCCCAGCCTCACTTACCAGGTCTAAATGGTCCTCAGTCTGGGAGCAGAAATAAAACCAAGGGATGTTCAGTCTCTGGCCTGCGCCCCCCTCAAGCCCCTGCCCCCACAGCCAGTCCAGCCACCTCTTTGTGCGGGAGCAGGGTGGCACTGCGGACTAGCACAGCCCTTCCCTGTCCTGCCGATTTCCAGAAGCTGCTGCGTCCCGGTGTCACCTAGTCCCACCGCTGTGCGGTAATGGCAGACCTCTCCTGTCCTGCTCCGTCACCGAACCTCCTCGCCCATCTCTGTCCCTTCTCACTGCACCAAGGCTAGGACTTCTGTGCTCCCACCTTGTATGAGGCCCTCTGGGATCTCCCCGCATCAAGCTTCCATGAGCTCCCCTGGGAAGTCCCAACTGCTGGGTAACCTCCGTCTCTCCTGCTGGAGGTCGGCTCTCTCCTCCGTCCATCTCCGCTCCCAGCCCCTACCCCTCACTCGGCCCAGAGCCCCACTCACCAAGTGGTGCATTAACCCCTTTCCTCCCTGGGATGTGATGACCCTCAGGTCAGGCTTGCGGCTGGGGGCTCCAAGCTGGGCGCTGTGGGTGGGTGGGGGCGGAGACTTGGCAGGGATGACCTTGTTTAAGCTGTTGCCATTGGCCACGGGGAGGAGGCCAGGGGAGGCCCGAGCACTGACGTAGCCGTTCCCTGGAGGAGAGAAGAGACCAGGCTGAAAGGAAACCACAGACCCGCCTCAGCCCTGCTAAGTACCCCCATGCCAGCACTGTCCGCCAGCACCCGTCAGAGCCACGCTCGGGCTCTGGGTGAGTACCAAGTTCTCTGATTTCCTCTAAACCTCTTACGCCCGAATCACGGGGCTCTAAGCTACGCATGAGGGGCTGGGTGGTAGGGGCTCCGAGGCTGGTGGGAAGAGCTGGAAAAGGAAACACAGTGGCCACTCGGTCCTCATGCAGCCGTCTCTCCCCACCTGTTCTCTTTGGTCTCCATGGACAGGGAGCACCTTCAGACCCCACAACCTGCCCCTGACTGGGCGCGCCACGGCCCAGGTTAGAAAAGGGGTGGCAGCCTGGAACTGGGGCCTCAATGGATCCTGGTTACCAGGGCAGATCAAACCACTTGAGCTGGTCCCTTCGCCACGAGCTGGAGACACTGTGATTTGGATGAGCACATAAGATGCCCGCAGCTCTGGGGAAGGTGAGCCACTCACTGGGGAGCTGATAAGCCAACCACCCCCATAATTAGACGGGGGACAACAAGCGGAATGACTATGTTTACATCTGCTCCACAATTCACAACCTCCGTGGGCTTCCACACACAGTCTCTCGTTTAACGCTCACCCTGCCCCTCAAGCAGACAGGGCACGTATCATCAGCCCGATTTACAAGGGGAAACGAGGTTGGCAGGTGTCACGCTCGTCAGGGCACGCGGCTGGAGGCCGGGCCAGGGCCCTCACCGCTTCCCACGTGCCAGGCGTGCGGGCCCGTGTGCCGCCGTTTCCGTGAGGTCCGGCCCTCTCCTTGCAGAGGGAGGGTACTCCCTCATCTCCCGGCCCTGACACAGTCACTGCCAGGGAGCTACTGCCTGGTGACTGGTGCTATACTGGAGGCCTCTGGAGCCCAAAGATGTGGGATGACCCCAGTCAGAAGTGTCACCTTGCTTTGTCGCCTGAGAGCACGCTGCTGCCTTTTAAGTGTGTGGCTCCCTCCATCCCAATTCCCGGATCACTCTGAGAATGGTAGGAATGCCAGAGTGACATCAATGGTGACATTCGAAGTCATAGTCAGCCGCCGAACAGGAGGGGCTGTCAGCTGCTGGGGTGGGGGTGGGGGGTGAGCGACTGGGGGGAGCAGCCTTTCTGTGGCTTACAGATGTGTGCTCACAAGTGCCCATCAAAAGTCTAATGTG